GGCTAGGTTCCAGTTCCAGGTTTACAGAATAAGCCAGTCTGAGGCTTGGTGCTGTTTTCTGAAATCCAGGAACCGTCCAGTGGGCCCCTATAGGATTGATCGTGGCACCTGCGAGGATCAGTGATTGTCTTTTGTGCATGTGCTGAGTAGCCGCGAGGCCCCAAGTGCTGGCAACTGATCCGGTATGGTCCACTGAAGATCACTGTGGTAGGGCGTTTTCTTTTTGTTATTTTTGTTCCGGGAAAAAGACATTGAGGCTGAAGGGGCAATTATTTTTTTTTTTTCTCTTTGTTTCGGAAAACATCCTTTAGTTTTTCAGAGCCCGATGCCCAAGGCAGGAGGGAGATCCCACTACAGATGTATGTGGAGTAGCGGATAGGGTGTGTGACCCTTCGGCGCCGTTGATGAGAACGGTGATCAGTGGTGTTGTTTTTCTTGGTTTTCGGCGTGGGGAAACATATGACTTTTGGGGGGCTCCCATTGGGTGGCATTTCTTTTGCTTTTGTTGTGGTGCTCCTCTGGGGGTCATGAACGTGAGTGAAAATCATACCAACTTTTTTTGTTTGGATTTTCACGCACCTTCCACTTACGTTTGCGCCATTGCCCATGCGTTCAAAAGAGGCCGAAAATGAAAATGTTCCCCTTTTCTCATCATGAAGGGATGTCAGTTGATGTCAGAGTCTTCCACAACTTGTCTGTCATTCCAAGCCTCTCGTAGGGAACGTTAACAAATGTGTGTTGGCCTCATGTACATGGTCCATGAACTGTCCACATGCACAACATACCAGCGGAATCATCAGAAGATCCACAATCTGACAGCTGACCGCAGTTCACGGCGGGTGGACAACATTGCGTTGTCAGAATTGCGGCATTTTGTTTTTTTCAACATTTATCACGGAGTAAAGCTGCCACACGGATGTCGCCCACACGCCCGCAACCGTCACACTACTCCACGTACATGGTTAGTGGGATCTCCCTCCAGGTATCATATAAGGGCGTACTCACACAGCGGTGGCATAGCTGCAAAATCTGTGAATTTTGCTGTCCCGATTTTGCTGAAATGCCACCCCGCCCGGTCACATAGTGGCAGCAAATCACAAAAGACAGGAGCCGGACTTTCTGGCAATTGCCAAACTGGTGCCTTGCCTGGTCACACAGCACAAGGCCCAAATCCTTCAACTTTTCTTTTTCAGCAAATTTCGTTTTTAATTTCCTTTCACGAACTCTCGAACTGGAAAAGAAGGGAAAATTTTCGAAATGCCACTCCGTTTTCCATTGATTTGCGGTATGGACCTCCAACGGCCAACTTACCCTGTCATGCCCCTGGGGCCTCTGAAGTTTCCTGCACTCCCCTGTCAGTGAGGAGTGCAACTTTCCAGCATGTCCCTGTGGCCGTTGGTGGCACTTGAGGCCGCTCCCCTGGCCCTGGGATGGGAGTTACCCGGGCATACTGGAAATTTGGAACCAGTATCAGTAGGGCCATATTGACCATATTTCAGGCCCCAACAACACCAGGGATTTTTCGGAAACTTCAATCGTTTCAGAGGGGTGCGACAGGGTAATGGGAGGGGAGTTACCGGGGCATACTGGAAATTTGGA